TCTTTCGTTTGTCGAGATAGTTCGATTGCTCAAGAATTTCATTACAATATTCCAAATCCCGGGACTAAAACGTCATCATTGTCTGTTTCTAATATGCGTGGCCCTTCGCGCGAGGCACCCTTTCATTCGAGCGAAAACGATCGTCAATCGTCTGACGATCGAGTTTGACAATTGCGCGAGATGGAGAAAGGGGTTTCTCTCGCGGGACGACCAGGAACGAAAGACCGGCTAATTAGTCGAGCTTGGATCACGCGCACCTGTGTAACGACGGAAGAAAAAGAGGGTGCGGGGGGTGGAGCAAAATTCCCCGTACCATTTTATCGCTTATCGATCGAGCGTGTAGGTCGATTTTTCCTCTTCGCGTCGTCCATTCACCGGCAGTCAAGATAATGCGGCAGTAACGTGAACGGATGACGGGGTCGAGCAGTTAGGCCTAACAAGCGGGCCGATATAGCTTAGGCCCGATATCGTCCGATCGACGATGTTATCTTCGTACACGAAACAGCGAGCAAAAGAAGCGACGACAGGGGAGGGGAGGAGAGAACGGAGACCGGACAGTCGTCTCCGGTGACCGGCGACTAATTACACGATTAAAATTCAAGCGTGTACCGAGCAGAAAGTGAGAGACGACGACGAGTCGCAAACTCGCTGCAAAACGACGCAGTTCGCGATAAGAACGCGTCTACACTGACCGGCACGCGTCCTTCTTCCTCGTTTTCATCGCGAACGTGGAACGATCCTCCGGACGTGGAAACGAAAGATTTCCCGAGCATTATTCAGATTAGATCGGCCGCGAAGGAATTCGAATTTTCTTCCTCCCCGGCTGTTGGAAACATCGAACGTTCCTAGTCGAAAGATTGTTGAGTCTCCCCGCGGTTCTTGCAGAGTGAGATTCTCGCCCGTGTCTCGTTCATATTAATTAAATTATTATTCGATATCCAGGAACTTGGATCGCGGCATTTTTAACAGCGAGAACTCGTTGTATATTTATTGATTCGAAGTGTCTTGCCAGGTTTCTAGGTAATTCCCGTTGGGTAATTTAAGCGTTGAAATTATCCACCCGTTCGCTTGATTCCTAGGAATTTAGTATGCAGCTTCAAGCTTGAGAACTTATTTGACGACGCGGACTCGAGACAGTTGATTTCAAACGAATGGCTCGGAGTCACCTCGATTTTCTCTAAGGGAATTAAATTTCTTTACCGATGACAGAAGATTTGTTCATTTAGTTTCTTTCGGAACGATCGAGAAATAACAATGGATGCTACAGTCAGAGTTAATACGATGTTGACTAAAAAGAGGAAGTATTTAATTATCCGATTGGAGGCGAATGCACGCGAGCAGTAAGTCGGCGAGCGTAGGGGTGAGAATTTCCCCATTAGGATGTGGTTGAATGGGGATCAGAAAAGATCGGAGTGATGATCAGTCTTTCGACAGTTTATGATCACGGATGCTGGATCGAGAAAGGAACGGAGAAATTAAACTAACAGCGAGAGACGAGCAATTAGTATCTTTAAACTGGCGCTAACTAGGCGGCGAAACCCACACGTCACCCACATCTCTCTTTCCACTTTCACCTTCGACACATCGCGAAGGTACACTGAGGAAATTTAGAACGCAGAAACTAAATAACAACAGCAACAAACACGAAAAGGAATCGCGGCTGGCTGAGAATTATATCACTTCTAAATATGAACCAGAACATTTAATATTATGTTAAATCGCGTGCAAATGCATCGTGACAAAGAATAACAATTTAATTACTTATTTATAATCGACGCCTCTTAATTGACGAATAGCATGAATCTAAAATCAAGGGAAACGAGTTTATCGTAGAGATAGAAATTTGCGTGTATTTTATTTTATATTAATAATTTTTGCATTTACAGTATATAGGGGAATTCTTTTGAAATATTATTTATATTTAGGAAAAATTCTCTACATTTTGCTCTTAATTTGTTATAAATATGACGAGAAAGTCCAATTTTCGCAACGTTGAGAAAAGAGTTTTCAACCAGGGGGGGCTCAACTATACAATTCCTTTCCCGTAGCCAGAATAACTCATAAACGAATAAAAACTGCTCGCTAATTATAGTTGTTTGCACCAACAAAGTCATTCGATACTTACAGGCAAGTCGTTTAACATTTTTCCAACGGTGCACAAAATCAAAGTTCCAAAACGTGGACGGGTACGAGCGCGAGATAGCTTGCAAGTTACACCAACGAATGTCCAATCTCGCAATGTTCCATCAGTTTGAAGAAACAAAAGAAGTAAATGAGCTCTGAGTAACAATAAGAAATGAACAAGCGCCTACCGTGGAATGGTAGGAGCACGGTAGGAAAGATGGTAAAGCGATGAGAAAATAAGAAAGAAGAGAGGAATGAGAAGGAGAAGGAGGAGGAGAAGAAGAGAGAGGGTGGTGAAGGTTGGACGAGCGGACGGGCCACCAGACGAAAAAATTCGGAATATTTATGCTCGGTATTATTAGCGTACGTCGGCGATATCTCGGTGGGCATCGCTAATTAGGCCGCGCGAACGGCGCTCCCGAGCCTTTCGGCAAACAGTGCTGGCTACTGTCTTTAAAGGTTCTCCACGGGTGCAATCAAGATGGTGGCGCCGGCCGCCCGGGGCGGGTCGATTCCGAAACTAATTGCCACGGCTAATTTATTCCCGCGACATGTACGCACAGAGACGCCATTCTCGGCTACCGCGTAATCGTCGCGACGTAATCGCCAAGACGCGAGAATGCCACCAGTTGGACACCGTCGGATGACCGAGGGAACAACCAGAGGGAGGAAAGGGGGAGGGAGGGGAACGCAGTTTCTCAACCCCGCGAAGATTGCCATCGGACCTTCGTACCTCGTGTCCTGCTTCGTAAACAACCTTCTGGTGTTTGCGCGGATAGTTTCAGTGAAACGAAACGGGGGTGAATGAATGGAGAAGCGAAGGGTGTAGAGGTAAAAGATTCGTGAGTATCGCGAGAAGGGCGAAGAATATTTTGTTAGAGATGCAGCACGTGAACATTTGGTGAAGATTTTTTTTAGATAAGAATATTCAGTCGTCTTCTTGTGAAAAGAAAAAAATGGGTAAAGAGTAGAATATTGGGGAAAATTTAAGGATGAATAAGAGAAGATTTTTGGATAAGAATATTTAGATGTCTTCTTGTGAAAAAATAAAGGACGAGGAGTAGAATATTGGGAAAGAATAAAAGTGGAAATCCTTTGAAATGTTTAAAAATCGAGAATTATCAGTCGAGGAATAAAAAGATTTGAGAGGGAGATAATTTGAAGAACATTTCTGATTCATGAATGAAAGAGATGAGAGTACGAGGCTGAAGAAAATATTTGGAATATTTGCATCTCTGCGGAAAGAGGAAGAAGGGACTTATAACAATCGAAAGGGAAGTCGTTAATAAATAAAAATATACTACAAGACAGAAAATTAGTGTAGAACTCTTTGAATGATTTTTCGTAGTTGAAAAGGTACGACAAATGAAGATAGTACGAACGAGGAATTATTTTGTTAAAAAATTTGTAAAAGATTCAACGACCAGTACGCGAGCCTTTTGAAACAGGTACTTAAGAATCGTTCAAAATCGTGTACTCTTACTAATCAGTATGCTAAATGCAAAGGACACCGATATTAATGTGTTCCCGCCGGACGTGAAGTTGAAGAGATTGATGCGATACTTCGCGGCAGAATGTATAATAAAAGAGCGAGCTGATCAAGACTGACCGACCGTTTCGAATTTTTGTCTAGGGTCCAGTTAGTAAATCTCGCGGACGGTCCGAAGGAGCACGGTCGTAATTCTCAACGAAAAAAAAAGAAAGGAAAAAGACTCTTCATTAATTCGAGAGCGTAGTAAAAAGGCACCACGTATCTGGCGAACGAACGGTTTAGATAAACGATCGAATCAACAGAAACATCTCTCTTCGGGGAGAGATTCGAAGACATCTGAAGACGAGATACACCGATGATCTCGTGAAATATGACTCGCGCGATCGCCCGTAGAGTCGGCTGGAGGCGACTCCGGCGTGAATTGGGAGGATTGTAGTTGATTAGTAGCCGATGATTGCCGAACTTGTTAGAGGAGATCGAAGAAAGTTCCACGAGCTTCTCCTTTGGTTGCCTCATCGTTGCTCAAACAAGTTTCCTGTCGGTTGAATTAGCTTTAATTCGCCCGGAAAGCGCTCGGTAACGAACTCGGGCTTCCCGTTCAACCGATTGATCAGCCCGATATTCTCTATTGTAATTCGTCGATAAATTAAGAGAAAATAGCCAATACGATGAGAAGGATATCAGAAACAAGATCCGATTCTTCTCTGTCATCTGTCAGTATCTTTACGAATGCAGTTTACGAGTCTTCTACCGGGGTTTGGATTTGCCTCACGTTCCATCTTGTAATCGCGACGCATCAAGAGAGATTCTTAAATAAATAAATGAATGAATAAACAAGGCGATCTAATTCAATTAAAATTCTCATTTCGTGGCACTTTCACGTTGACTCTGGCGTCGATCTTTCGCACTCGTAAAACCGTGAAATCGTGTTTCTAAAAGCCTGTTGTTATTTATGCGATCGTAAATCGAAAGTTACAACGAACATCGAGAGTGAATTACGGTGCTATTTCTCACCGAATAAATTTACCCGGTTCATCGATTCGTTTGATTGCAGTTTTAGTTCTATTTTCTAATCGTCAATAGCGTACGGAAATAATCTCGCGTCAAATTAGCCATTCATTCGTAATTCGTTTCGTTCTCCTCGTTCACACGTATAGACTTTCAATCGTTGTAGAATAGGATTTTCTCCGTGTTTGTTCAGGGAAAATTAAAACATTAGGTTAGGAATAAATGTAGTTGAGTTAAATGTCAATCGCACGTTGCGAAGCAAGTTTTTCACCTTCATGTCGAAGAGCATGATCCTTTAATTTTTTCATTCGAGAAATTCGCCAACAACGACGCCGAGCATAGGAATCAGCAACAAAAGTGAGAAACAACAGAGGCGTTAATTCTATTCTGCGTGTTTATTAAATAAACTCTGCTACTCTCTCGGCGACGGTTTTACATTTATACAAAATTGGAAAAAACGGGCCTCTGGTGGCAGCAGACCTTTCGAAAACTATCGTTCACCATACGAATGATCGTATTTACAAGGCTACGTGAACTTTCAACTGGAGAACGACGAGTATATTTACACAGTATGTACAAAGACACGGGAGCGTGTCTGATATTGGCACAGATTCACGATACACTATGGTTGTCCCGTAGGAACGACGTTTTGTTCTTTGGGTCTCTCTCTCTCTTTCTCTCTTCCTCTCGCTATGTCGAGATCATTATTTGAACGATTCGATGGGCAAAAAAAGGAGAGTCCACGAGTTCATTCGGAATCGTGTCTCTTTTCTCAGAAACGCGTTCCACTTTGGTTATACTCCTCGCAGACGTATTCCACTTCGACTTGTCTGCTTGTCGACGGTTCTGGCTTCCGATCGAGCACATCTCCGAGTACGCTCTGAATCGTTTCGCCTATCGGAACATTTGGTTTTGTTGGTTGCAGATCTCCACGAACGTAAACAATTCGATTCCATCTCTCGTTGATTTTCTTCACTTTTCTTTTCGTAGCAGTTCCAGCTATCTTTTTATTCGCTCTTACGTCGTCAAGAATTCCAAGAAACATTCCAAACTGGTAATCTGCGTGCATACAGTGATTCCGTCGAGTTGTGTCTTATATTTTTCTTCCTCGACGTTCGCATATCTGCGTTTTTCGTTCAGTTTGCCAAAAATACCAAGAACTAGCGATTCCATCGAGTTCTCTCGCGTCTTGTTTGCCATTTTCCTCCTTCAGTCTCTCCTCAGAATCTCTGCATTTCTTCGTCCGTGTTCGCGAAAAATACCAAGAGAAACTAGCAATTCCGTCGGGTTCTCTCTTCAATCTCAAATCTCTGCGTTCCTCGTTCAATTTGCCAAAAATACCAAGAGAAACTAACTAATTCCATCTCGAGTTGCCTCGCGTTTTCTTCTTCTCTTTCAGTTTCCCACCTTCAATCTCAAATCCCTCTGCACTCTCCGTTCGCGTTCGCCAAGAATATTCCAAACTGGAACACATTCGGGAGTCCCTCGACTTGTTTCGAAGAGATGCAGAAAACTGTTTCGCGGGGGGATCGGTCGTCGATTCACTACCGATCGTGGCGAGTCGCTGGCTGCTCCCGTTGCTTTCATTCCCTGGACGGGTGCTGAGAGATCGGATGATGAGGCGTTAAACCAGGATGAGACAGCATTCCAACGGGATACAGGCTAGCCGGTGTCAACAGTCCCGGATGAGAGCCGTAGAGCGTCGTGTGATGCTGCCTGACCGCCGACATCCGCAGCTTCTCGATCTCTGCCTCTTGCATACGCTTCGCCTTCGCGCGGCGATTTTGAAACCAGATCTTCACCTGCAACAGCGAATCGATTCCCGTGTTTTTATTCGACGATCTTGTCGTGTACATGTGTTTGATTTTGGTCGCTCGTGTACGAAGCGAAGTTGCGATTTCACGTTTCGGTAATGGAACAAAGTAGAGACCTGACCGATCGGCGATCATCGACATTGTTATTGTGACTCGCAGCGGTTCGGCCATCGATCCGTTTTCATTCCACCCAATTCACCGCATCTCAACTTCTTTTTATTCATCCATCGTCTCGAGATCGTCTGACCGGATCATTCTGAAACCGCAGCGAAAACCACTCGACAAAATCGTCGAGCCGTTGTGGCTCGATGCAAACGATGTTACGAAGAGATGATATTATACTAGGCTTTCTACAAATACGAATATTCCTTCTCCCTATAGAATGATGTTTTTTCTTTTCTGTTTGTAATTTAACTAATATTTACTATAGTCATCCAACGAGAAACAAAAGTTAAAAAATCTGCGAAATCGAAAATTGGCGAGACAAATTTCACAAATTTTATTAGAAAATTAAAACGGTGTGACGTAATTTCAAATTATAATTATGGAAGGGATTGATAGTCTTAACAATCCAACAGTTATCGATATTATGTTATTATTAATCTACAACTGGACGATGATATATTCGATTTTAATTTTTCCTCCTGAGGAATTTATAGCACAGTATTTTCCACGAGAGCTCTTCAATTACGCGAACGTGACTGTTCGCGTTGTCCCCAAAAGCACGAGCACCGAACTAAAGTGCACGTTTAAACGAATCTACGGCAAGAATAGAGGAAATTTGTCGAGAGGCAATAGGTCTCCGCGACAACGAGTACGTCTAACGAATCGCCTCGTTGACAGACGCGACCGACGCGAAACTGCGCCTCGAGAGCGGGACCACGATCTGGGATAATTGGTTGGTCATCGTGCGTTTCGAGTAATTTGTAATCTATTAATAAAATCCGCAAGCGTTGTCCGCCAGCGTCGAGAATATCATGCGCTAATTACCACGCATCTGGCAAACATCGGGCTCGAGAGATTCGTACAGAGAAGAGCCTCGACCGGTGAAACTGAGTTTCGAGCCGATTTCTATGTTAACACGTTGGTGTGTGCCTCGAGTACGAGCTCACAGGTTGCGTCGTGGAATCGTGTTCGCGACGCGAGAAGAGGATGTTGTTGTTGGGAGCAAATGTTCGCAAGAAACACCGGAGTTTTGGATACAGAAGCTATGCGGTGAATCTATTGCGAGACAATTGAGAGACAGTTACTCTCAAAGTATCGAGAATCGAGTGAGATGTCTTTGAATTTAGTTTCGGAGATACTAATTTTCTGATATGAAGGTACGTATGATTAAGCTCTAACGATCAAAATTAAAATATACTTCGTCGACACGATATTCTAATTAACGATAAAATGATAGAAGAGTAACGTAATTAGTTATTGAAAATTCACTATCCGTTTCGTTAATTGGCTTCAATGAAAGAAGAGAAAAAAATAAAAAATAAAAAAAGGAAATAATTAAATTGAGAACGGAGTATGATTTCCAATTAGCTGCTCCCTGACGAGCTCAGATGCCACTAAGAATTCATCGCGATAATAATATATATAATAAACTTCACATAGTTGTTGTATTATTATATCACAGTAATATATCGAATAAATTTGAACTTCGTCAAATTCTAAAAGATTACGAAATCTGAAAGATACGGTAGAAATATTGACGATTTACTGATGTATTCTCGAATTTAAAAGAAAAAGAAAAGAAAAGAAAAGAAAAGAAAAATACAACTCGATAACGGGAAACAAACGACGAGAAAGTGTAACGACTTAATCTCGAGAAAATTTGAACGTGAAATGTATCAAAGGATGATCTCACCTGCGTCTCGGTGAGATGAAGCGACGACGAGAACTCGGCCCTCTCCGCGACGCTGAGGTATTGCCTTTCCGTGAACTTCTTCTCGAGCGCGAGCAATTGTTGCGTGGTGAAAGGCGTCCTCGGCTTCCGGTTCGGCTTGTGTTTCCTCAGGTTGCACTTGATCTTGGCCGGCTCGCCGTTCTCTGCAACCGAAAGCGTGTTCCGCTCGAGGATCATCCGTCGTCGTTGTCATTCATCGCCGCTCACGAGCCAGACCGCGAGCCAACGAGAGGCGTGGGGGGGCAGCAACCCGTGTTTCAACGGGTTGGAACGTCGGGCACCCGGTGCCGAACCCTGTTTCGAGCCAGACCGCAACGTCCTGTTTTTGCCGCGGTCCTGGATCCGGCCCAGCACCGCCAGGACAACGACTCTTTCTTTTCTTCCTTTTTTCTTTTTTTTTTTTTTTTTTTTTTTT